TAACTAATAATGGTGGATCTATCTTTCTAATTATATCAGTTCCCCAATAGTGGTGGATGATGAATAATATCACTGAAAATCTAACACTCATGGGACCTCTTAGCATGGTCAATATAATCTGTCACCATTATTAGCCAATGTTGACCCTTCCTCCTGATTTTAGCATTTATTTTGGGAACTGATATGCTCCACAAAGTCCTTCAAGAACTTCTGTTACTACTTTATCAGCTTCTTTGGTCCTTATGTATCTGAGCCACATCTGTTACCACAACACTCTCTTTTGAATTTGCATAGGTAGTGATTTATTTGTTGTGAGTTTACTTTCTTTAAAATTATTTAATGAGTGTTTGGCTCCAATCATCCTTTACTTTAACATCTAAGTAATGTAATCATGATTCTAAAGCTTGACTAGCTTTACATGTCTTGGCTATATGATATCCTTCAAGATAATTTTCCATAATAATCTAGTGGAGAGGTTGGAGGCCAACCAAAATTATATATTTCTGGCTTGAATCTGATACTTCTTATGCCTTTGGGAATTGTAACAGAGTTGGCTCTAAGACCCTACGGGTGTAAACTCTAAAGAATATAATCCTCTCCTCTTTAATGTTCACCATTTGCTTGACCAATTTGGCCAGACAAATTGGTTTATTATTTTGACCTCAAGGAACCCAAGCTATTCTAACACTCAGCACCTATTTTAGAAGCCCAAGATGAAAGTGCTCAGATGACACTAGAAAGTGCTCTGATAGCACTAGAAAGTTCATTAGGGATGTTAAGCCCTATAGAACTGGCCCAAGGCTAAATAAAGAGAGTGGTGAATTGGTAAAGAAGAAACTTTAAGCAAAGTACAAACCAAGATCACCACAAATAAAAACAAATGTGGAAATTAAATGCGGAAGCAAATAATAAGAAAGAACACACCGAATTTATAGAGGTTCGGCCAAACCTTGACTTCGTCCACTCCTTGGAGGCACTATCCAAGTATTGCACTAAAACAAGTGTCTCTCCTTTAGCCCCCACATCTAGGCAGAGAAGCCCTTACAAAATCACTTCCACCTTCCTCGGTGAGGTGGAGTCGCCGAGTCCTTTGACACCAAAGTGAACTTCTTTGGTGAACTTCCCTCGAGACAAGCCTTTAATCTGACGGTATTATAATGCAAGCCTGCCGGAGCAACCGTGTCGAATCCCCCTCCACACTCCCTTGAGGCCCCCCTCACAGGATCTTCTCCCTCTCTCAGACTTCACCCGTTCCTTACTCCCTTTCAAGCTTTCTCTTCAAGTTTCCCCCACAAGAACGAAGCTACAATGGCTGCCAAAGACACTTACAAAGTGTCATGTCATAGCTTAAATAGAAGAGATAAAAACGAGCTCATTAATGCAAGTTGCCGACTTTATCGTCCAGGACGATAGACATATCGTCCTGGCCGATAAGTTCAAATATGAGGAAAATCATCCTGAATATCGCCCTGAAATGAAGCTGGATGATGTCTAATCATCCCGGACGATCTTGCGATCAGCCCGGACAAAATCACCATTAATTGCTTTCCAAAATTGTAGAGAAATTTTGAAAAAATTGTCCTGGGTCATCCCGGCCGATATTTTATAGTCCAGGCCGATCCATCAGGCCGATATTCAAAAATAAGAATTTCCTAAGTAGATCTGGCGGCAGATTCTTTTTGACTTGAGCCTATCATCCTGGCCGATATAAAATCGTCCAGGACGATGTGTTTTGCATAATGACGGCTGCTTTAATGAGGATGCCCTAATTAGGGTTTTTGCTTTTGAACATATCATCCCGGCCCAATATAAATATCGTCCAGGACGATGTTACCAAAAATAGTAAACTCTAGGGAACAGTTAGAAACTCTTATACGTTATAAAGCATCAGGAGCCACAATAAATACAATAAACTCAAGAAAGGAAAAATGGTACCAACTGACTCAGACCTAGTCTACCCAATCTTGAGCTGGTTCCAAATTGCAGTCTGATCGTGTGGACCTGAAATGTCAGTACGTAAGGCAGTCATAGAGAAATAAGAATGTTTGCTATTATCAAAATCATAAACCATAGATCCGCAACACAAGAGCTCTTCATTGGTAGTGGGTCAATTAAAGTTTGCAAATCTTCTAAATGCCCAGGACTTAGTTTATAATAAGTTGAGAATTGTCAATGATTTGGAGATTTTATTTTGTATTCTGATATAGATTGCAATCTCAATTCTTACTATTAAAGCTTCATATTCAGCCTCATTATTGGTTAGAGGTTTAGTCAAATTGAATTAGAATCTCATTATGCCTCCCTTAAGTGCTATGAAAATATGACAGATGCCGACTCGGGCCCTTAGATGATTTTGAGGCCGGACAAATTTAATCGATTATCCCCTATTGAAATACATCTCCCAAAATATATTTTTATTCTCTTGTACCTTCATGATTTACTCATTAGGAAAATCATTATTGATCAGAGAGTTTGCTGGGATTGGATGTACAGTGAAGAAATCTTCCAAAGCTTATCCCTTAACTGCCTTTTATGGCATATACAAGATATTAAACTGCAGTCCTATCACTACCCACCTGGCAAAATGATCTGTCAATGCTAGTCTTATCATTAAAAACTTTAGCGGATTGATCATTGATATTAATGTAACTTTGTGAGAGAATATGTACTGGTGGAGTTTATAAACCATAAACATTAATGCTAGACAATACTTCTCAATTTGGGAGTAGAGGATTTCTGCTCTGATCAACCTCAGATAGATGTAGTAGAGCATATTCTCCTTACCTTCTTCATTGTGTTGGGCTAATAGTGCCCCAAGGGAGTCTTGTAGTGCACCTTTATACAATATAAGAGGCTTCCTCAGAATTGGCAGTACAATAATGAGAGGATTTAATAAGTATCTCTTAATACTATCAAATGCTTTCTGACATTCTTCATCCCATTTGAAATGAATAACTTTCTTCATTAATTTGTAGAATGCCTGGAACCTATCAAATAGATTGGATATAAACTGTCAAATGAAAGCTAGTTGCCCTTATAAAGAATGATGCTGATGGAGATTTCTAGGAGGCGACATCTCTATGATTACTTTGATTTTATTGGGGTCTATCTCGATTCCTTGGTGGTGAATAACATACCCCATGAATTTATTGGAGGAGATCCCAAAAGCATATTTGACAGGGTTCATCTTCGAATCAAACTTTTTATTCTCTCAAATATATTTCTTATATCACTTAGGTGGTCTTTCTCATCCATGCTCTTGACAACAAGGTCGTCCATATAGAACTCGACCTTTTGATGTGTTAGCTCATCAAATATACGTGTCATTGGTTGATGATAGGTGGCATCATCATTCTTTGGGCCAAAGGGCACGATCTTGTAGCAGAAAATGCCTATGGATATTTTGAATTATATATGCTTTCATCCTTATATACCATCTTCATTTTATTGTATCTTGATGATCCATCCATAAATGATAACATGTCATAGTTTGGTGTGTTTTCCACCAAGAGTTTTGATACAGGGAGTAAAAAATTATCTTTTGTGCACACCTTATTAAGATCCCAAAAGTGAATACATATATGAATTTTTCCATTCTTCTTCTTTATAGGGATGATGTTGGCGATCCAAATGGTGTATTTTTCCTCATGGATGAAGCCCGCTTCTATGAGCTTTTTAGTTTCAGCAATCACTAGTTCCTTAATCTCTAATCTCATTTTTTTTAGAGCTTTCTTGACATGAACCATATCACAATTAATAGATAATATGTGAACTACCACATCAGGAGATAAGCCAAGTCTTTCATTATATGTCCACACAAAGCATTCTTTGAATTTATAGAAAAGTTATTTTTTTTCCTTCCACTTGGTCTTCTAGTAGAAGGGAGCTAATAAAGGTTGGGCGAGGGTCTTCCTTAGTCCCCAAATTGATATCCTTTAACTCATCTATAGTGGCCACCTATCCACCATCTCCAAGCTCTTCAGGTGCAAGTTTGGCTTCTACAAGCTGATCCTCATAAGTGAGAACTTCGTACATCACCTCATAACCATTATTATCAGATTTGATTTTACCACATATAATTGCTTGAAAAACCTCTATTTGGGGTACATCCATAAGATAAATCCTAGACCTTTTTTTTTGCAAAAAAATATCCTTCTTCTTTAATAAGTGAAGATTTTTTTGATACCAAAGACTCAAGCAAAAATGTACTTGATTCTTAGAGGAACATGTTTTACTGCTTGTCCGTATAATTTTTTGGATGTTTTTGGTATTATATCTTGAAAACCTCATAGTATTAATTCCTTGAAATAGACGAGTATACAAAATTAGTCACAATTTACTACTTCTTTGAGTTTTTTGATTGAATAAAATAGACTCACTGCCCCACCCTTTATTCTTAGGGGAGGTACATAGAATATCCTGAGCTCATTAACCTTATGCACCTCTCATGGAATGATTTCTTTAAAGTGTTGTAGGAGAGTATGGGTGACTATGAGTACTCTATCTGACATTGATAGGCTTTCTACTCTTATGGAGAATAGGTCATACATCGTGTTTATGCAGATAGAGTCATTGTCATAATAATTATTTAAATATTTAACCTGCCTACATTGGAATTTTATAGGGGTGACATCGTCCTTATCTATGTCACTCCCTAAATGAGGTATGCATTTCCTTTCTTTATGAATGGTCAGTACTTTGGTATGTGTCTGTGTTTTCTTCTTTCTCCCCACCTGCTTCTTGTTTTGTTATTTATGTTACTTTATAATCTTGGGATCCAATGCATGGGCCTCAAGAGAGCTCTAGAGTTTCAGCTTATTTCGAATGAAGTTTTTGACATCTTAATAAATAGTTACTTCATGGACTACAAAGGGATGGATATCACCAGATATCCTAAATTCTACACCATCACTGAAGTACTTCATATTTTGATGTTTTGCAACTTAGTTTTCATAATTATGTTTTCATGTCATATATGTTTTTGATGATTTCAAAATATTATTGTATTCATAGGCACGTAGCTTCAGAGCCAGAATGACTAACCCAATAACACTCATCCATAAACCTGTTACAGACACAAATAACATAAGGAAATGTAATCAACATTTATTGGAAAAAGCAACCCCAAAGATTTGGGACCAAAAACGGTTAGCAGTGACCATTGAATAAGTCTCTTCAGCTTGAGTTGGGTTAAAAGCACGGAATGTATTTGCACCATCACCATCTTTGAATAAGGTATTTTCTACGGTGGCACCATGAATAACACATAGTAGAGTAGTGCCAATGACTTAAGCAACTCCCATCATATGAAATTGGTTTAACGTCCAATTATGGAACCCATGGAATAAAACAATGAATTGAAATATAGTTGCTACACCAAAATTGGGTGCAAAGAACCAACCAGATTGACCAAATGGATAAATAAGGAATACAGAAACAAAAACAGCAATTGGAGCAGAAAATGCAATTGCATTATAAGGTCGCAATTGAACAGAACGAGCAAGTTCGAATTGACGTAACATGAAACCTATTAGACCGAAAGCACCATGGAGAGCAACAAAAGTCCACAGACCGCCTAATTGAGAATAACAAAGAAAAAATGACTACAATTTTGGGTATTCACTTAATTTTATTAGGTATAGGTGCTTTTCTTCTAGTACTCAAGGCTCTGTATTTTGGAGGCGTATATGATACCTGGGCACCTGGAGGGGGAGATGTAAGAAAAATTACCAACTTGACCCTTAGCCCAAGCGTGATCTTTGGTTATTTACTAAAATCTCCTTTTGGGGGAGAAGGATGGATTGTTAGTGTGGATGATTTAGAAGATATAATTAGAGGATATGTTTAGTTAGGTTCCATTTATACACTTGGTGGAATTTGGCATATCTTAACCAAAAATTTTGCATGGGCTTGCCACGCTTTTGTATGGTCTGGAGAGGCTTGTCGTATAGTTTAGGTGCTTTATCTATTTTTGGTTTCATCTCCTGTTGTTTCATCTGGTTCAATCATAGCTCTTATCCTAATGAGTTTTATGGACCCACTGGGTTAGAAGATTCTCGAGCTCAAGCATTTACTTTTCTAGTGAGAGACCAACGTCTTGGGGCTAACGTGGGATCCGCCCAAGGACTACTATTTCTCCTAATGTATATTGGAAATATTTCTTTTATTGTTTAGATTTGCAAACATTTTAGAGAAATCATACTCCAGACTGCTGAAGACATCAAGTCAGATTAGATTAGGATTTACTATTTTTGAAGTTTGTACTCTTTATAATTTTTTGAGTATGAGAGAGTATGTTTATAATTGGGTAATCATGCAAACACACACATAGAGAGTGTAAAAAATTATAAATTTTTAAAACTAATTGTACTGTATAAATTTAGATCATATGGGATGATTTGGGTTGAGTTTTATTCCAGAAAGCAGTTAATCGAACCATGGTAAGAAAAATTTCTATGTCTTATTCCTACTGTATGAATTTACGTTCATACTAATGACTTTTAGAGTATGAAATAGATACATACTAGTTCATCCCAATGAACTTTTGATTTTTTTTTTAAATTATTCATGTTATACAATCTTAGGTTCAACAGATGACGTCCAAAGTATTAAATAGTTGCATATCTTTTCATCCATATGAACAGATAAATTTTTTGAACTATTCAAACTTTACAATCTTAGGATTATATAGATGACTTCCAGAGTACTAAATTGTTGAGTCCTTTTTCATACCAAATGAAACATAGTTTGATTAAAATAGATAGTACTGCATGATATGGATTTTGTATAGTACAATATTCAAAGTACGAAATCATTTTGTACTGAATCATATCAGAAGAATTTATTTAATTTTTTATTGATCATAATGTACGATGTGAGTTTATACATAGGTAAATAAGAGTACAAAATTTGTTCATACTAGATCGTATGAGCAAATTTTGAACTATTTGTATGTATGATCATCGATCGTACTGTACAGTCGTGAATGGTCAAAATTGAAAATTTTAATTTTCTTGATGATTCTTTATGCCTTTCATATATATTGTCCATTAAACTGACTATGGATGAATCCTTCTTCATGTTTTCTTTGATAGTTAGTCTGAGAATGATTTGGGGGAGTGTTTGAGAGAGAGTACTTACAAGTGGAGAGTGTGAAGGGTTCATAAGGTTGCTCAAAGGTGAGAATGTCTTTATAAGTGTGGAAAATCTCTTCCTTATTTCTTTGAAGACTGTCGAGATAAGATCTTTGAAGAAGATTCATTTCTTTGGCGATACTTAGAGAGTGTGAAAGGATGATGGTACTCTGCCGACACTTAAAGGTTGTGAAAGGACAACGGTACTCCATCGCACTGGAGATTTTTGAAAGTGAGGGTAATTTGAAAGGCTTCTCCACCTTGATATGAGAGCCAAAGGAGAGTCACTTTGGTAATAGTGTAATACCTGAAGAGGGAGTATTCAGGGAACGGACATAGGTTTAGTTGGGCCGAACCACTATAAATTTTTGTGATTTTTTATTTTATCATAATATTATTTTTCGGCACCTTTTTATTTTGTTTGTTGAAAAGTTTTTTTATTTGAGAAAATTTTCTTTGTTCAAAAATTATAAGAATGATTTTTTTATAATATTTCTAAGAGATTTTTTTTATTTATCAATTCACTCTTCGCTCTTAGTTAATCTTTGGACAATAACTTTTGGTCTAACAACCTATACCAACTTTTAAGTGGTATCAAAGCATATTTTGAAAATTAAGGTTTAGATAACTTTTCGAAAATGATTATGACTACTTTTGAAAACCCTAACACACCTAAAGGGTATTCAATCATTAGACCTCCATTGTTTGATAACATCCCATTGATTTTTAGAAAATATGTATGCCTACTTTTCTTCAGTCGCTTGACTATTGCATATGGATTTTAGTACAAGAAGGATATACTAGGCCAACAAGACTTATAGATGGCATTAGAATTGAAACACCGTTTGTTGACTGGACTGTAGAAGAAAAAGACTTAACTATATTAAATGCAAAATATTTAAACAATTTTTTTATGCACTTAAATCTGAAGAGTATATGCGTGTCTCTATGTATAAAAGTGAAAAAGAAATTTTGGATAGACTTTGTATCATATATGAAGGGACTAACGAAGTGAAATAACTAAGATTAAACATTTTGCTACATGATTAGAAACTTTTTTTGCATAAAACCAAATGAATTAATCACTGACATGTATACACGTTTCATGAAAATAGCTACATCCTTGCATGCTTTAAGTAGTGAACTAACAAATGCTGATAAAGTAAAAAAAATACTTCATTATTTTTCTTCTGATTTTGATGCAAAAATTACTTCTATTATAGAGTCCAAAGATTTAAATATTTATTGTATTAATAAACTTCTTGGATCACTAATTATAAACGAGCAAGGAGTGACTCAAAGACATATTGATGCAGGTGATATACAAAAGGAGAAGAACATAAAGTTGAATGTGGATGACTCAAAGAGTATTCAGTCTCATCCTAAGGATGAAGATAACATTGCCATGATGATAAGGTAATTCAGGAGTATTCTAAAAAGGAAGCAAAGGAGACATCAGTATTGGAATAAAGATAAGTTCAATAGAAAATGCTAAGGCTTCTAACGATGTTATTTGCTATGAATGCAGGTAGTATGGACACATCAAATTCAAATGCCCAAATATAAAATTCAATCCTGGTAAGGAGAAGGTTGAAGAGCAAATAAATGCGAGGAAGGAGAAGAAGAGATTGCAAAGAGCATTTTTTGTAGACTCAACCTCAAATTTTTAAGAAAAAGTAGAGGAGGAAGTCACAAATTTGTGCTTATTGACCAACAAGTTTATTAGTTAGTTCAATAAGAGGTATGTGAATTAACCAATGAAGAGTTATTTGATGTTTCTAAAAAAATACACATTGCATATAGAAAACTTAAAAAGATGCTTGTTAGGTTGATCTGAGATTAATTATAGTTATAAAAAGAGCTTGGAATCCTTATGAAAGATCACACACTGATTGATAGCAATCACATGAAATTATTGGATGACTTAGATGAATTAAATAAATAGTATGAACTATTAAAATCATCCCACACTGAACTTAAAAAAGATTTTAAAAAATTTATGGATGCATCCGATAATATAGAGCATTATTTGAAAGTTGACAATGCTGTGTTAGAAAGTGCAAACTCATTTTTTAAAGATCAAATAAAAGAACTATGGAAAATAGGATTCCCCCCACACCTAAATAATTTTCAATTGTGATAAGAAACAAAAAATTTGGAAACCTAAGAACAGATAGTCTTACTCACGTAGATTGAAAAATCTTTTTCCTAGAGTTATTTTTTTTTTCTTTTGGAATGATTTGCCATATATCTCACACTTGCACTATTTATACTAAATCATATCTAGTGTGGAGACCAATGATACATAAAATGAAGCATAACAAATATGCATATAGATCAAATATGCATATACAAGAGGAGAACCCAAACTTGTTTATGAAAGTTCGTTAGGGATAGTAAGCCCTTATAAATTAGCCCAAGCTAACCAAGGGGGGGGGGGGGGTGATGAATTAGTATTTTAAAAATCATTCACGATTAAAAAAAACTTAATCAAATCAAAATTCACCACAAAGAAATTCAACGTGCAAAAATTAAATGCGGATAAGATATTTTGCTTCCTCCTGAAGCAGGAAGAGAACTTTGATCGATTGCTGACGTGAACCTCTCTTGAACCTCCAAGAATAGGGGACGATAATTAGAGAATAAGACTTGGATCCTTGCTTGGAGTAACCCTTGTGAAACCCCTCATAAACTCCCCCTCACAAGATCTTCTTTCTCCCTCTTCTTTAGGCTCTCTCAGGTCAAGACAACAACAAAAGGTAGTTTCTTGGGTAGAGCAAGTGGTCTTAAATAGAAGTGATCAGAATAGCTCTTTATTTAAACAAATCAACTTTATCAGACGATCAGCATAAATTTAGCTCAATGAGTCCAAATGGTTTGGGATGATTAGAAGGTTTTTGTTCATATCATCTAGGCCAATAATATATCATCTTATACGATTAGTACAAATCGAAGAATATCATCCAGACAATATCACTGAATGGATGTCTAGATGATGAAAAAATAGTTTGATCGTACATGCCGATCACACGATTGTCCTGGATGATTAGTTCAAATTTGTGTAAATCATCCAAAACATCACCTTGGATAGAAGCTATCCGATGTTTAATCATCCAGGAGCAACCAAGGTTTTTGAACTGATTGTCCTGGCCTATCCTGCGATCATCCAGGATGATATGATCGACTGAATCAAACCATAATTTCTTTTCTTAATCTCTTGATTAATTTAGGCATAATTGAACGACATCATACAGGCCGATGTCCTGGACGATGATTAAAAAATAAAGATGCCTAAATAGTTCTGGTAGTTGATTCTTTCTGATTTGATCCTATCATCTCGTAAACTTGTTTATGAAAGTTCGTTAGGGATGTTAAGCCCTTATAAATTAGCCCAAGCTAACCAAGAGGGGGGGGGGGGGGAATTAGTATATTAAAAAATCATTCACGATTAAAAAAAAACTTAATCAAATCAAAATTCACCACAAAGAAGTTCAACGTGCAAAAATTAAATGCGGAGATGATCTTTTGCTTCCTCCTGAAGCAGGAAGAGAACTTTGATCGATTGCTGACGTGAACTTCTCTTGAACCTCCAAGAATAGGGGACGATAATTAGAGAATAAGACTTGGATCCTTGCTTGTAGCAACCCTTGTGAAACCCCTCATAAACTCCCCCTCACAAGAACTTATCTCTCCCTCTTCTTTAGGCTCTCTCAGGTCAAGACAACAGCAAAAGGTAGTTTCTTGGGTAGAGCAAGTCGTCTTAAATAGAAGTGCTTCAGAATAGCTCTTTATTTAAACAAATCAACTTTATCGGACGATCAGCGTAAATTTAGCTCAAAGAGTCCAAACGGTTTGGGATGATTAGAAGGTTTTTGTTCATATCATCTAGGCCGATAATATATCATCTTGTACGATTAGTACAAATCGAAGAATATCATCTAGACAATATCACTGAATGAATGTCTAGATGATGAAAAAATAGTTTGATCGTACATGCCGATCACACGAATGTCCTGGACGATTAGTTCAAATTTGTGTAAATCATCCAAAACATCACCTTGAATAGAAGCTATCTGATGTTTAATCATCCAGGAGCAACCAAGGTTTTTGAACTGATTGTCCTGGCCTATCCTGCGATCATCCAAGATGATATGATCGACTGAATCAAACCTTAATTTCTTTTCTTAATCTCTTAATTAATTTAGGCATAATTGAACGACATCATCCAGGCTGATGTCCTGGACGATGATTAAAAAATAAAGATGAAATCTGGTAGTTGATTCTTTCTGATTTGAGCCTATCATCCCGGCCGATATGAATATCATCCAGGATGATGTGCTTAATTATGGTTTCCTTAACCAGGATGCCCTAATTTGGGTTTATATTTTCAACAGATCATCCAGGATGATGTATGGATCATCCCAGATGATGTGATCAAAATAGGGAACTCTAATTAATCACACAGACAATTTACCCCATGTGTGTGTGTGTAAGGTTACTTAGCATCAAGAACCACGTCATTTATAATAGACTCAAGAAAGGGAAAAAATTACAAACTGACTCAGACCTGATCTACCCAATCTTGGTCTGGCTTAAATTGCATTCGATCTTGTGGACCTGAAATATTAGTAAGCAAGGTAGTAGTAAAAAAACATGAATGTTTGCTATCATCATAATTCTAATTCATAAAATCAGATTTGCAACAATCTCTTCCTTTTTTATGATGGCAAACCAAAAAGAAATCTAAGCAGTTTAAGGCAATTTAATGGAAACAGATTTGCAACAATCACCCCCGTTTTGTTAACTTTGTCATAGTTAGTGAGTTCTCTTCCTAAGGCATGTAGGGAGGTGACAATTTGGGTAAACCTAGTATATATTTTAGATTATAACTCACTAGGTTTCATGCAAAAAAGTTCTTAGTTATGAAGAAAGATATTCAATATAGATTTCTTAACTTCAGTTGTGCATTCATAAGTGATATATAATTTATCCCAAATTTCTTTACCTGTTGTATAAGTTGAAACATGCATGTAATCTTTAGATTAAAGTATAAAGAAGAAACACTTTAAATATTTTTTATTAAGTTAAGCTAAATCCCTATCATTAAGAGTCCATTCAATAAAAGGAAGTTCAGTTTTGATGCCATTAACTTCACATGATGGTGCATAATAACCTTCTTTAATAAGCATATACATACATTAATCTATATAGATTATAAAAATGTGGACATATGAGTTTTCGAGAAATTAAAAGATATATTATCAAACAAAATTGGTCGGGTAATGGATTACCCTTTTGCAGTATTTTTGTTACCAAAGTTGCCAGCGATCAAAATTCAAAAGTTGTCTGAAACTTGATTTTATGAATCCCGCTCTAATACCATTTGAAAATTCATTTGGAATGTTAAGCCCTTATGAACTAGCCCGAGGCTAACTATGTGGGGGGGGGGGTGAATTGATAGATTTAAAAACCCCTAAACAAAAAAGCATGATGTTTTTGTAATATTTTAAAACATTAAACCATATGTTCACCCACAAGAAAGTAAAGTGCAAAAATTAAAATACAAAGTAATAAGAAATAACATATTAGATTTTATAGTGGTACGAACAACTTGACCTACATCCACTGACTAGAGACTCCCCTCTGGGTATATCACTAAATAATTATTAACTCTCCTTTTTCTCCCACAGAAAGGTGGAGAAGCCTTTATAAACTCCTTTCCACCAATTCTGGTGAGGCAGAGACCTCGTCTACTTTTGCTTCCTCCAGAAGCTTGTAGAGAATCCAAACTCCTTTCACTTCCTCCTGAAGCTGGATGAGAGCCTTAATCGATTACTAAAGAAGATCTCCATAAAGCCAACAAGGAACTAGGGATGATGACTAGAGAAGATGACTCAAATCCTTTCTTAGAGCAACCTTTATAAACTCCTCACAAGATCCTCTCTCTCTCTCTCTATCTCCTAAGCTCACCCTCTCATTTTCTTAGCTCTCTTAGATCAGAATAGTAGCAAAACATATCACCTTGAATGAATAAGAGATCTTATATAGAATGCATTAAAATTTACCCTAATGTGTAACATATCATTAAAGATCATCCAGGATGATCCTGTATGATTAGTGTATTTTTAGCCCTTTTAGCCATGATGGTCTGGAAGGGATAGACGATGAAGACCCTTCTTTGCTATGATTGTCTAGGATGATGTGGACATCATCCTGTATGATTAGTTCAAAACCATACATATAATCTAGCACATTATTTTAGTCGCCAAGAAGATATATATTGGATGATGTAGAAATATAACTTATCCTCAAGGATTATTCATGAATCGTCTCATATGATTTGTTCAAAACTAGGGATTATCATCCATAACATTTTTTTGGTCATCTAGGCCATACACCCGGATGATGGAGAAGTTCAACTGATCATCCAACATATTGTTCTGGTCATCCAAGTGATCCAAAATAAGACAAATATTTTTCTAATTGACTATCTAATAAGATCTTGCGTTCATCCAAGATGATATGATCGATCAATCAAACCTTAATTATTTTTCTTAATCACCTGAAGCATTTAGGCATAATTGTAATGAATCATCCTTGATGATATGGGATCATCTTATATGATTTCTAAAAATAATATCATACCTAAAATAGTTTGGTGGTTGATTCTTTTTTATTTAAGCCTATCATCCAAGACGATGTTAATATCATCTATGACAATTTTCATAATTCAGCAATCTTAATATAGATGACTTAATTAGGATTTCTGTTTTTAATAGAACGTCTAGGATGACGTATGGATCATACCGTATGATGTAATAAAAAAAAGGAAAACTCTTAGGCCTACATAATTTCTCCCCTTAAGTGTGTGTGTAAGATGAATTAGCATCAGGATCCACACTATTACATTTGACTTAAGAAAATTTCAAAACATAGGAATAATACTTATAGACTGACTCAGTCGTAATCCACCTAATCTTGAGCTTTCTTGATTTGCAACTTACCTTGTGGACCTGAAATGTTAGTAGGCAGTGTAATAGAAGAGATATAAAAATGCAAAAATATTTTGCTACAGTGAGTGATAGGATCCCCTGGAGGATTCTCCAAAGAGTCGACCATCAGGAGGGCCACCATCATTTGTTTTCATTGGGACCTATTTCTAATGTTATTTGTTATTGGGGGAAGATCATTAGGTAGCTGCACGAGATGTCACACCCAGATTTAGTTCTCTTTTACTTCCTTCTTCTTAGTTAGGCTTTTGCCTCCATATTTCTTTTCTTTTCTACCGAGACCTTTCGGTGGTAGATCCTTGAACCCGTGGTTCAAGGGTCACGCATTGATGCTCACCATGTGTGACATATTTTCTTTCTTTTCTCTCCATCATAATAGATAAGCATTCTCTTGAAGGAGTCTTTCTAGTATCGACCATCAATGGTCATTGATATTTTCTCCAACTTAGTCCTCTGTCTTTTATAGTCTTGAAGACACTATAGACTTGGGCTGAGAGAGTTTCAAGCTTCTTCTTCTTCTAAGCAACTGGGACTTCAAGGTGTTGGTCTCAAAATGATTTCTTTAGCTCACTAGTGTAGCTATTTTTTTAACCTATTTTCGTCCCATAAATCTATTCCAGATGGGAATAATATCAACTGACTGTTAAGATGGAAAGATAGATGGATGGGTTGAGAATTATTACTAAGCTCAATGTTCAGTATTTTTCTTTCTCCTCTGCTTTCTTATAAGCATTCCTCTAGATGAGGAGCCCTCAAAATCACTCTTCTTGGGTGCAAATAACCTAAATGATAGAGTTATGGTGTTTAAAATCACCACTGAAATCCTACTACCTATCACAGTTTTTTTGGGGGTTGAGGCCTCTTGCTGTGAAAGCTATTCGAACACAAAAAATTCTCTTGCAAGGATTTTTAGTAGTAGCAGTGGTCCATGACACTAGCAGATGTGTCCGGTGTGTAACAACTTCAGTAATGGGTTGCTGCACTCGCAGATAAGCACAATGGATAGGAGCATTAGAAGGATGGAGTCTCCTCACAAGTCTTTCTGTATTCACACTAGTCACAGGGATGGCGGCAATTCTTATAATACCTACAGGAAAGTCAAGACTACCACACGAGATGGTAACCCCGATGTTGCAAGTAGTGATCACAAGGTTTGTTAGTTAGATGCTAGTCTCGCATCCTTATTGAATGGTAAATGCAGTGTTTTGTAGATCCATCTGCATAAATGAAAGGTAAGGGTTAGTAATCATCATATGATATATCACCCCACTCTTTGAAAATGTAAAGACATGTATAAAACATTAAAACAAAAATAGAGAAAAATAATCAACTTAAGCAAGAATTAAAATAAATTTAAAAATACTGCTAAATACAATATAAATTTGTTTTTTTTTTAGAAAATGCAAAATTGCATTAATTAAAAAAGAAAGGACATCCCAATACAAGCTAAGAAAAAGAAACTAATGGTTCCTTTTTCAACATGAAAAAGGGACCTTATTGAACAAAAATTTGATAATTTAAACTTATTAGAAATGATATGAAACCCACTACTTCCTATTTTGAAATGTTGAGATGCAAGGGATACCAAAGAAATAAACAACCCGAGGGTTGATAAGTATCTAGAGTACCCATCCAGTTAGAGAATAAGACTTAGTAAAGATCCCATAATTAATTAGAAGAAGTTTAAAATGACAAACTTATAGAAAAAAGAAGAAACAAAAGCTAAAAAGGAAAGTAATCTTTAACAAATAATTCCAAAAATCACTTAAGAATATCATTGAAGGATATTCCATAAGCTTTTTCCAAATCCCAAGTCCAGAAATCAGTGATATCATTACTCCAAACCTTTTGTTAATATGCTTCAACTTCAAGTATCTATCCACTTTGATGTTGTTAACGGGATAACCATCATTCATATTATTGAGATAAAAGGGAAGAAGAACCCCTTATACCGTTCTTCACTTTCAGTTCAGCCATCTTCCTTCTAGGTAGATCTTTCACCGGTCTTAATGCTTGAAGTTCCTTGAACAATATGTGCTTAGATCCCGGAGTCTTTCTTTCCTTGACAACTTTTTTAATAAAAGTTTTCTTAAAATTCAAACTCACAGCCGACAATGGAGAAGATTCTCTAAATAATCCAATACTCTTTTTTATTTCAGGTTTAGAAGCTGAAATAAAATCAGCATTGATGCTGGAAGCAGCCGCCATTACTTCCTCCTGAGGATCTGAATTATTGAATTCAAATGTTGGTTTGTTAGTTCCATGTAAAGCTTTGCAACCTCCTCCCTTAATATCTTCCACTATTTCAGGGATTTTGAATTCAGGATTTGAATTCAAAATTTTGCTGATATTAATATCTGCTCCATTAGTTCCAAAATAACATTTTCTAAAAAATGAATATTTTAGTTCTTTTCCACGGGATCAGCCAAAAGAATAGGGAATTCATAATTTGAATTCTGAACTTCCTGAGATAATTCCATAATTATATCAGGAGACTTATAACTTTTCTTAACCTTCTTCGTAATAATAAGGATTTGATTTTGAATTTTTCCTACAAAAACTGGATCAATAGTGGAAGAATTAGCTCCTTGTCTAACTATAATTTTAGCACTTTCCTTGATTTCAACATTGTCCCGAATAGTCAAATGAACAGCATGAACTTTTGGACTAGTAAACCCGTTTTCTTCAGCATCATCCATGGCAGCATTAACACAAATATCAACTGGTTTCTCCAATGCTGAAACAATTTTAAAAACCTTTTTTCCTGGAATAATCCTCCTTTTGTTTTTGAACTTCACATGCATCCAAGGCCCATAAGAATTATTCTCAGTTTGAGACGAACTGAAATGGAACTTATTTACAAGAGGATCTTGATTATGTGTTGAATTAGGACACATAGAATGAATATGTCCAATTTTACCACATTTGAAGCAAAAAAGATGATAGATTTTCATACTCAAACTTTTGAAAAAATCTACCATAAAGTCCTTCCACCCAAATTCCATAGAGGAGCTTAGAATTCAAATTAACTCGAATGCAAGCTCTAGCAAACTCCCTTCTCCCCCATCTAAACATGTTACCATCCAATAGTAATGTAGTGCCAATTCAAGAAAAAATTCTAGTGATATTGGATTCATCCCAACAATGTAATGGCAAATGAGGAAGACGAACCCAAATTGGAGATGAGATCCCATCCAAAGAATTAGGAGAGAAGGTAGGAGACCAATAGTCTAAACCTACCACAAATCCTCCTGCAAGCCACGGACCACCATTCATAACTTCCTCCTTGGCTTCTTGAGATTGAAATGAACAAAAGAGCCAATCTAGACCAAGCAATGTAATATGAAATCCTCCAAACTTTGACCATTGTTTCCTTAATTCAAATGAACACTTAGAAAAAGGATAGTTTTTTCTAAGAATTTTAACAACCAAGGAATTGCTCAAAATTTGAGCATTAGATTTTTCCTTTTCCTTGTCAAGTATGACAACATTTGCATCCCCATTATAATCATGAATTTCATTATAATTAATTTTAATGTGAGGTTTTTTAACCCACACATTAGAATTATCCAAATTTGAAGAAGAACTAGGAATTTTGATATTATCCTTACTTTTGTTAATATCAAGGTCATTCTTCAAGATATCAGCAAAACTTCCTCTTGATGAAGATGCTTCCTTGTCATTAGCTCCCAAAATGATCTCCGTCAAGGGTTTTGGCTTATCTTTCGAAAAAGAAATTACTTCTTTTCCTTTGCCTGAAACCAGCAAAGGTTTATGCACAGCATTCGAATCTCCCGCTCTTATGACTGGAGGAGTTTCGAAAATCCGAAAAGGGGAAATGCGTTTGAAGGAGAATCTACCTCTTGAATCCAACATGATTGAATTCGTCGTAGATAACATTTTTTTGGTGTTCCAGTCATCCATGGATGACCGGCCACCTTCTTCCATCTCCAACAATGGAACCAAAATCTTCAAAATCTTTTTCCAAATCCTTCCTAAATTTGTGGAGCTTCTCTCTCTTCAAGCCGTGACTCCAAAACCATGACTCCTACAATATAAATTTGTTGAAAGATTATTTTAGAATATTCAAAGCTTTGATTCATTAAATGTTTATTTTGAAAGATTCAAAAATTTTAAATACAAGTTGATATAGTTAGTAGTTTAACATTGAGATGACTAACCAAAGATGGAAAAAGAAATTAATCCCCAGCGAAGTCACCAGAAATCTGTGGGCTCCAAAAGTTTTGCCCTAGCCTCCCCCGCTGCTTTTCTTATAGGGGAGTTTTAATGGATTGAGTTATGCAGTAAATTTTGAGAAGGTAAATGAGTTTGTAGATAAGACACTACCCAGAGATTTTGCCCTCATTTTGTGAGGACTTTATGATCTGAGTTATGGCTCCCTATAGGAACAAGCCCCTATAATTAATTACCCCTCCCTGTAAAAAGAGTAAACTTTTGAATAAGTCTAGTCGTCAATCAGATACATAGAGATAGATAATATATGGCATATAATAGTAGCATTAGCATGATATTCAGAAGGATTTTATATTTAAAATAGAAATATCTCTTTCTTGCACTAAAAGTAGATGTGGTAGAATGCATGATGGACTAGATCAAGATCCTATGGTTCTATTATCTCTGGCCATCATGCTCCCTAGTCTACTTAGTCAAAGGAGGTACTTTACCTAACCTGATAGAAGGATCCTTATTAACAACCATGGGTTGCTTCGTCATAGGGTACCTTGTATACCTTGGGTGGATGTTTGTATAAGGGGACTAATTTGAATTCACCTAAGCTAACTTGTTGGTAATTTTGAAAGCAGTTTTTGTAAAGGGTTAGTTTTTTTGAAAATTTCAAATCGACTTTGGATTTGAATTCTAAGATCTAACATCCATTAGAAAATTAATAAAACTTTAGGAAGTCAAAGTAAAATTTTAAAATGCGGTAGAAATTTAGAATTACAAATCTAACCTCGAATATCATAACCAGATCCAAGAAAAAACTATATATGACCTTGAAAGGTTAAAATGGTGTTCGATCTAATTTCTAACTATGATATTCTTGGTGTAATATCATTAATTTCATGCCCGAAGCCTTATTAACAAATAATATATTTCCCCTAAGGGAGAAAATAATTTTTGAAATGTGATATAAATAGAGTATGAATTAAAATAAATATTTTTTTTTTAATTTTGAATTCAATTTAATTAATATTTAATTAATTAATAATTAAATATTAAATGGTTAAAGGCATTCAATATTATTTTAAATATACAAATAATCTAAATAAAATAATTTTAAATAAATTAGGATAAATAAAATTTTAAACATTTCAACATATTATATTAATTATATTCAATATTTTATAAACAAAATTAATGAAATCAATTAAAAAATTTTTAAACCCAAAATACTTAAATACATGTAATCTTGATTTAAAATTAATTAAAACTTAAAATAAAATACAAATTAGGTTTAATTAAATCTTAAAAAAAGTTTATGGAGAAAAGGATTAATTAAATATTAGAAATTTAAAATATTTAAAATTATTTAAAATAGTTCTATTAATTTAATATAATTTTAATTTTAAGATAAAGAAATTAATTATTTGAATATTTCAATATATTTTATAAATTATATTTTGTTTGAAATTAATTTTGAATATTTTTAAATTAATTTTAGATTTAAAAATGATTTAAAACTAATTTAGTATGATTTTTAAATTAAAAGGCAAGGACAGGCAACTTGGCAAACTCTGGTTTTCCTGATTAAAACTAGAGCAGTGACAGTAGTGCGCTGCATCCTCCACGTGGCATACCTTGGGCGAACCATGCGTTGGGGCATGGTCAGTTACGTAAACACATTAGTTAGTATGCTCAACCGACAGATCCACGAAGAATATATTGGATGGCTGCGATTACATACTGTAATTTGATCTCAGCCAATAGAGATCAAACATCGGATGAATGATCCCACAGTTTGAAATGAAGGTCCTCGATTGAGCCAGATGAGCTAATGGTTACAGGGACAGATCTATGGTGGATAGAGCCATGGATTGATGTGATCAGGGCTGTTGATCGTAAGATCAATGGCTTAGAAAATGTACATTCACAACAGGTCACGATTGACGCCCTAAAACCTAATGTTGTCCCATTCTTTCGATCCTGTAAATCAAACCTCATAAAATTTTAAACCTAGATTGTATTAATGAATAAATTTAATGGGGGAACAACATTGCATTTTTAGATGCACTAAATAAAAAGCTAATTTACCCTAAATACTGTGACCTAAGTCTAAGGTTTTTAAGAGATTTTTCCATTAGATCTTCAAGTTCTTGATATGGTTGAGCTTATAGACTGTCCAAAAAACTTTTCTTAGTTGAAAGCACATTCTAATGTGCCTTTAATTGACTAGTACAACTCCTTAGATAGAAAATACTTAGGATCACTAGAAAACTCATCGCCAGGGGGGGTTACAGTGGGTTTTGGTTGCGAGATGGAAGGGGGGATCTCTGGAGCTCATGGGAAGGCCTGAAATGCTTTGGGAGACTTAGGGATGCTAGAGAGTGAAATATGATGAATCATGTCATTTTTTAGAACTTAACATATTCAAATGTCCTAGGGGTAAGTGGACAATCTTTATGGCTCAGAGCTATTCCGTGGATGCTAGGCACATATCCTAGGCAGTTGGAAGGCTGAACTAAAGACTGGGCCCTATTCCATGTTGAGCTTTTGATTTTATGTTCTTTGATGATAACAAATATTGTAGCTCACTTTCTATTATCTACCTTTTTTTTTTTTGTATACTAACTTTTGAAGATTATGATGCACCATTTAAAGCTCGAGATTTAAGAGAATAGGTTTTATTTGCAATATTTATTGATGTACTTTTTGATTTCTTAAGTTATGTCCTGTAAGGGTATAGCTTTCTTAGTAACCTTACACACACATAACTAGAAAAATTCAGACTTTTTTTTGAGTTTTCTGTTTGATCACATCCTACGGGATGATCCGAACATCATCATTGACAATCAATTAAAAACAAAAACCCTAATTAGGGCATTCTAGTTAAGGCAATCATAATTAAGGGAATCATCTTAGATGATATTATTATCGTACAGGACGATAGGCTCAAATCAAATAGAATCTGCCACAAGATCAATTTAGGCATATGCTATTTTTGGACATCATCCAAGATATCGTATTAG